TGGGTTCCAAAAATCGGTTATGGTCCCATAAATCCCAGAAATGATTTCTGGTCCCAGAAATGATTTCCTATTGGCTTTAAAAATCATTTCTGGATCCCAAAAATCATTTATGATCCCAGAAATTATTTTAAATTCCAGAAATCCCCAGAAACTCCCAGAAATCGATTTCCAATCCCAGAAATCGTTTCTGGTCCCAGAAATCCTAGAAATCCAGAAACGATTTGTGGGACCAGAACCCAGAAATCGTTTCTGGTCCTAGAAATTCTAGAAGTCCCAAAAATGATTTCTTGGGTCCAGAAATCGTTTCTGGTCCCAAAAATCCCAGAAATAATTTTTGGAATCATTTCTGGATCCCAGAGATCCCCGAAATGATTACTGGTACAAGAAATCGATCCCAGAAATTGGTTTCTGGTCCTAGAAATCGTTTCTGGTCCCAGAAATGTCTTTTGGTTCCAGAAACATTGAATCATCCCAGAAATGATTTTTGGATCCCAAAAATGTTTATGGGATGCCAAAAAGGGTTTTTGAATCATATAAAATATTTTTGTGATTCCAAAATTGTTTCTTGTTCAAATTTTATTTGTTTTATTATATGATATTGAATCATATATAAGACATGTTTTTTTGACATTGTTTGTCACTAAAATAGTTTTGTATCTTTTTTTATAGATGTCGTGTGAAAAAGTTCGAATTGTACATAGCGGATTTTTGGATGAGAATGTCTATAAAAATGGATAGGCAGAGATGAACTTTATGCGTTTGGGGAGTTTGTCGTATAAAGACTTTTTAAATAGAGTTCATGACATTGTTTGTGGATATAAACACACGTGTGAGTATCAGTTTCACTTCTTGATGGCCAATGAAAATGGAGAGTTGAAAAAATAGAGAATTTCTTGTGAATCTGACTTGCACAATTTGGCCAAATTGTTCAAAGTACCTACTATATATGTTACGTTGTAAGCCAAAGATCGTGGAATAAGTGGATTTTCGACTCAAACACCAACCAATTTTCATGCTTTTGTTGGGGGGTAAGGTGGATTTTTGAACTTAGTTGCTGCTCAAGGTTAACCATTTTATCCATATGGTGTTACCGTTCCATCTCTTGCGAACTTCAATTGGCAAAGCAACCCAAATATTGGTTTCGATAATAATATTGTGCGAGATGATTATAATCCAAATCAATCTCGGAATACAGTGCAAGGTTTCGCTCGTCGAGATGTTGAAAGTGATTTTTCCAGCCATGTTGATTGAGGTGAAGATAGTATATTTGATGGTGAGGATGATGGTCGGTATTATGATAAGTTTGAATGAAGAAGCGAACATCCTCGAGAATGATAGCGAAAATGAGGACAAGAATGAGCAACTCGAGTAGGATAATGAAAATGAGGACATCAACGATGGTCGGGATTATGATGATTTCAATGGAGAAGCGAACGTCCACGAGAATGATAGCAAAAATGATGACGAGATTGAGCAACTCGAGCAGGATAATGTAAATGAGGACATCATCGAGGAAGAGTGTTAATATTCATAATGTGCCACCACTTAACCTTTCCCAAAATGATACTCCTAATGAAGATGCATTCAATGAATCTACTTTTCGTTTGAGAAATGCTTGGATGGTTGCTGGAGTAACTTATCATAAGACATTGATTACGTAAATCCTTAATGTTCTTTTACATTGTTTTGCCAGTAAAATACTTTTGTATATTTTTTTTCGAATTATGCGCAACAAATTTTGGGATGAGAATGTTTATAAAAGTAGACAAACAGAGATGAACTTTATGCGTTAGGGAAGTTTGTCGTATGAAGACTTTTTACAAAATCATTTATCCTTTTATAATAGTGTATAGAAAAAGGAAACAACTTTCAATTACTTGTGCACCAATGCCTACATTCATTCTTTTTTGGCCTACATAATTCACATAATCTAACTACATCGTTAACCAACAATTTGAACAATCCGTGAAAATTATCTTCTTAGTCAAAGGTTCAGATACACATTCATAAACGCATTTGTATGACATACTGGAGAACTTGATTGAAAAAAAATGAAAAAATATAGAACATTAGGAAAACATTGCTTCAAACAGTACTGAATTTAAATGATATTTTCATAACAAAAATAAATATCCACACAAATGAAGAATTGACATCAAAATAAATATCTGAAAATATTACCTATAGCAATACTGCAGGGCCTTTCACTTTATTCACTTAACCCTCCACAAATATCACATTAATTAGTTAAACTATTGAGTAATTTAATTGCTAAATAAGTTGTGATTAGCCACTATTGGACTCCTCATATAATGCCTTCCATCGGACCACAAAAGCTCCTCGATTTTTTTAAATTCCAGCACGTTCGGCTCAACCGAGACCCTGAAACTGATTGGGTGGCGGATGCGCGTGGTGTTCTTCACCTTCCGGGCAACGGTGACGGACCCATTCACCTTTAGGACCGTGATGGATGGGTTGTTGAAGTCGAGCACGCTGTAGGCAGTCGGGCAGTCATAGTGGATGGTGGTGAAATGGGCTAGATGGGTCTAGCTGTAGCCGAGCCCACAGAGGAAGTCAAAGCAATCGTTGACCGTCAGGATTAAATCCCAGGGGTCATTTTGCAATTATTCATTACAACAACAGACTTGAAATTTAGTCGAATAACAAAATCTCTTATTATCCTTCAAACTTATAAATATTTATATAAAGCCACTTGTGGTTTGCATCTGCTCAACATACCGAGGACCACCCCTAAGAGACGGGTTTTGCAAACTAGAAACAAATATTAATTTCTAAGTTCTTTTTGCGGTAGCAAATTTATTTTTTTAATCATATATATTTAACTGTTGTTTTTGTTTATTGTTTTATAATAATATTTTTTTTTCCGTTCTATCATTAAACTTGTCGCCTCGAAAAAAACGTAAGCGGTCGTCCCAGGCTTGCATTGCCTTTCCTCACAAATGGTAACTCTAATTTCTTTATCATTTTTTTTTACGTTAAAAGAATTATTAAATTTAGTTTTTCTATATTTAGAAGATATTTTTTTGTTAATTTTTAATAATAATTTTATTTCGTGTAGTTTCATCATTAAATTTTGCCCCTCGAGAAAACGTAGTTGGTCGTCCGAGGCGTCCATCACTATTGTTTATAATTTTCATTATTTTTTCCTCTATCATATTGCTTTTCACAAATGCACGGAGTGATACTAGTGCAATGCATAGTTAGTGGTGGATATATCAATCAAAAGCCAACTTAATTAGATAGAAGAATCAAGCTTATTAATAATTTAGAAACCAAAGGCGGCTTGCGGGTAATGAAAAACGGTGACGTTGTAGTGAACGACGGCATTCCCTTTGTCGCTCAAGCTAATCGTGCTCGCGCGTGCAAACCCTGTCGCGAACTGGAACTCCCCTGTGCCCCCGACAATGGGCATCTCCCTCACCTTGTCGAAAGCGGCATTGTGGCCCAGCATGCTCAGGGTGCTCCCATTGTGGGGCCCGACCTTGAACACAAAGTTGAGAGCCATCACGAGGCCTACCGCGTTTAAATCCGCCCCACCGTACATCCCTTGGGCCCGGCCCACAATGCCGGAGCTCATGTCCGGCCCATAGGTAAAAGGGTCGTCGATCATCCTAAGTTGGCCGAAAAACGTGGAGTAGTTGGTGCTCGGGGCTGTGATGAGCACGGCCGTCTTGTTGGGCCCACTTACTCTGTCGTGGAAGTAGAACTCCAGGGTTGTGACCTCGGGCTGGCCTAGGCCCATCGACTTCTTCTCGGAGGCCAAGAGGCGCGGGGAGAATTTTTGCTTGGAGTTTGCGGCGGGGACATGAGGAGGATTAATGATATTAATGCCACATTAACTGACATAATATTGAAGATGAGGGAAGCCATAGTTAAGTGATGATGGGATGATATAAATGATCAAACCATTACACATATATATATAGTTGAGTTGTGTAAGCACGTTGCTAGGCATGATATTCGTTAATTATATGTTGTTTTGACTACTAATACGAGTAGCTTTTGTTTTTTGCATCTCTCATCACAATAAATCGTATGTTGTTTGACTACTAATATGAGTCAGTTTTGTTATGAAGCCACTCCATAGTAGAGTCAACCTTATATATACAACAAGTAAACCATAATATATTGTACATATATATGTTCCACATTTACTACTAAAAGATTGTCATATTCGATGGAAAAATATTACGATAATATATTTCAATGGAAATTTTAACCGATATTCTAGCGAATAGATAATCCGACAATTGGTGAAATCGACATGTTGGTTTCCATTGGAATGATTTCCACGAAAATATTTGGTTGGAATAAGTTTTTCATTAGAATTTTAGATGAAATTTGATGATTTTAACTACTATTTTTTCAACGGTTTCACTGTAAGAATTTCCGTTTAGAATATGCAATTTTCATTGGAATTTACTTACACTCATATTTTAATGTTGGAAAATCTATATTTCGAATCATCAAAATTTAATGAAAAACTCATTCTAACAGAATATTTTTGTTGAAATTTTCGTTGGAATTCACTGAAAATTCCGATGAAAAGAATAGGATCAGAATATCTACTGAAATTTTCGTTAGAATTTTATTGAAATATATTTTCATTAAAAAATTTCGCTGAAATTTCGTCGTTTTCTTATATTGATCAGTCTTTCATTTAACTTTTTTTTTTTTGGGTAAATAAATATTGCATTGAAACAACTAAGAACTTAATACATCCTTGAAGAAAGAGGAGAATATAATGGGGAGGGAATCCTTCCAAAAGCAAGAAGATAGAGACATTGTCGCATAATTTGCTATTTTATGAGCAACTTGATTCTTCTTCCGGGGAATGTGTCCATACGTACTGCACTCCAGGATAGACAAGAGCTCTCTTATATCAGAAAATACTTCCAAGAGAGGGTCGCAATCTTCCATCTGACTGAGCCCTCCAACGACACCTAAAGAATCCGTCAAAACCCCCTGAAGTTCAAAGTCTGAATCTCGGGCACATCGTAATCCATATCGAATGGCCAAAGCTTCCGCTACTAGAGGAGAAAATGAGCCCTTGATACACGTAGTAAAAGCGGCCTGAAAAATGCCATCCGAATCCTGAATCCAAACCCCAAGACCAATATGTGTATCTCGGACTGCTGCATCACACAAAAGAGTCCAACCGTTTCTACACGTTCCCTTTCTTCGCCAACAATAGGTTTCAACCCATTATCAAGCAAGCCTGATTGCGCGTAGTCAATCTCCTTCAACCAAGATAGCCCAAATTCTCAAACTTCTTCTGGCTTCTTTTCTTTTAATTTTTTACGAAGGCAATTGCGTTCGTGCCAAACAAGCCACATTCCAACCACAAATTTCCTGAAATCCATATCTCGGCCTTCCGAAAGAATATTGAAAGAGTTATATTTTTGGCAATGAAGTTCAAAAATTAATATAAGTGAAGATATATTCTTGCAAGCATGAGAAATAAAAAGGGAAGTTCTTTTATTTATATTTATATTTATATATTCGAATTTATATATATTTATATTTATATATTCGATTTATATACATATATATTAGATTTGCATGATCTTATTATGGATATAATTTGTAGGAAATCATATAAGAAGGAAAGATCTTTGGAAAGAGAAGATAGAGATCTACACCTACCATATCTCTTATGATTTACATGGAAGGAAATTTGATTAAAGAAGGATTGTTTGAAGTGAGAGAAAGAAGAGTCCTAAACTTGGAAGGAAATAAAAAAGGAGTCTTGTACTTGGAGAACACTCCACCCTAAGGAGATTGTATATATACCTGCTTGAAGATTGAATTTGGTGAGCTGAGAGCATTATCTTCTATTCCATATTCGAGCTGCAAGCTTTTTGTGTTTTATTTTCGTTGTTCAGTTTTCGGTGTTCTTACGTCATTGAAGAACTGAAGTCTCTTTTTTTTTATTTTTTGTGTATTTCATTCAAACACTTGTGTGATCAGTGCTTAGAGATTAAGTACTGTCTTTAGCTCGAGGGATTCGAGAGGTAAAGTCCACGGGACGTGGCCGGAGAAGTAGTTGATAGAATCGTGTGTAGTTGTGGCTAGGCTAGAAGGGAGTTCGAGTCGTGTAAGTCCAAACTATACAAGTGTGCACAAACGGTTTATCAATGAAAGAGCTCTGAGGGGAAGTGGGACGCTTCCCCGAAGAGTTTTTAAATCTTCGGTTTATTGCTTCCGCTATTCTAGTTGTTTATTTGTGTTCTAACAACGTTGAGCGCACTCGTTACAAAATACCTACGTTTCAATTGGCACCAGAGCAGTGTTCCTGTTCTACTTACAGGATAAAGATCTTAGGGTCCTTGGGTTGGTCACCATGATTCACGATGGCATGTCCGTTTCGCGCCCTCCGTACCTCGACGGTTCTAACTATAGATACTGGAAATCCATGATGGTGATATTTATTCGCTCTTTGGGTAAAGGAACCTGGCAAGTCATTGAGTCAGGCTGGACCACACCACTCATGCCGAAAGCTCCCTCGGAATTAAAGTCATCAACCTCGACTGCTCATGTTCTAGTCGAGAAACCAAGGGATCTTTGGACTGATGTTGAAAGACAAGCAGAAGAAGCAAACTTTCGTGCATTATATGCTATCATGTCTGCTATGGATCCAACTCGCCATAAGATGATCATCTAGTGCACCACAGCACGTGACGCATGGAAGATTCTTGAGAGGCAATTTGAGGGTACCAACGCCGTGAAGTCTTCCAAGCTCCAAATGATTACCACGGAGTTCGACACTATTCGCATGAAGGATGATGAAAATATTGATAGGTACTATGCACGTTTTTGTGATCTCGTTAACCAAAGTGCCATGCTTGGTGAGGAAATTTCTGAGGCGAGGCAAGTGCAAAAGATCATGAGGACTCTTGCCAAACGATTTCGTGAAAAGATCACCGCACTTGAGAGCTTTCAGCGAGTCGAGCCTCTTGGTCTCGATGACTTACTTGGAGAACTTCGAACCTTTGAAATCAATCGTGGTTATGATAAGATGGGAATAAGCAAAGGCTTGGCCCTGAAAGCCAATGTTCCAACACAGGCTGAAGACGAAGAGGATTGTGATGATGAGTCTCTTGATACTGAAAGTACTGCTAAGGCTTTGGATGTTCTTACACGCCACTTCTCTCAGTTAAAGAAGAAAAAGGAGTTCCAAGGGAAGAAGCCTACTGACTTCAGTAAGAACATCAATCAGCAGTCTGGTGAACGACGTTCCAACTCACATTCTCAGAATCAAGATGTAGTGAAGAACCAATGCCGTGAATGCAAGGGATTTGGACACTTCCAGAAAGACTGTCCGAATTTCACGAGGAAGAACAAAACCTATCGAGCCACGTGGGATGATGATGAAGACGATGATTACCAGCAACACACGAACAAATTTGCCGTCACTTCTCTCAATAACTTCACGTGTTATACAGCCTCTCATAAGCCTTGTGATGCCGATTCAGGTATGTGTTCTTACACGTATAATTCTCATAGTGATTCTGATGATTCTGGAGATGGTTCTGTTGAAGTAGATTTGGCTACCCATAAGCTTGCATTAGAGACGAGCATCAAAGCTGGAAAAATGGTGAAAAAGCTACAAGCTCAAGTCGAGGTGTTCCAACATCGTTCTGCAGAGCATGAGAAGGAGATCACCTACTTGAAGGATGAACTTCAGAAAACTCGCATGATGAATGGCGAACTGAATGATAAGCTGACCAGATCTGATGTTCATACCAGCAAGGAGGAACATAAGCTGGACGAATTTGTTGCCAAAATCACGATGTTAGAACATGAACAGAAGTTGTCCAAGCAGGTATGTGATGAAAAGGTTTTTATCATTGAGTCTCTACGTAATGAAATGTTTGTCTTGCAGAAAACTATAGATGAAAGGGAAACCGAGATTGTTGCACTCAAAAGAGAACTCGGTCGAGTGATGGAAGAACATGTAACGCTCAAGAGTTATTGTTCTACAATGGAGGAGAAACTCAGCAAGAGTGAGGAGATTGTCAAGATAATCAGCAAGCCCAAGTCCTCATTTGCTGAAGTTCAGAGGCTGAGTCAACAAATTGGTACCTCAGACCAGAGTAAGAACGCTCCTAATCAGAAACTGAAAGGTAAAGTTGGCGAGCCGAGCACATCTCTGAGTAAGTCTGACCTGACTTTTGTCAAAGAAGGCTACAGCCTTGAAGGTAAGAATGGTAAGCCTAATTCTACCAAAACTCAGCATAAGAACTCTGGTAAGAACTTTGTGCCTGTTTGTCACTATTGTGGTATCCGTGGTCATATTCGCCCTAAGTGTTATAGGATGCATAATGATATTTATACTGGTCGAATTGATGAATGGAGTCCACATGGTATACCCTTGAAAGCACCTAAACTAAAGGTTGATGTGGTTAATCATGAACAGAAAAAGATTTGGGTTCCTAAAGGCAGTAAGAACGTGTGCTTATCTTCTATACTTTCATTGAAATCCACCTCTAATTCTGATTGGTATTTTGATAGTGGTTGTTCTCGTCATATGACAGGTCTAACATCTAACTTGATTAATATTTTGCATGTTCCTTCTAGTTCTGTGACCTTTGGTGATGGTGTTATGAATAGAGTTCTCGGTATAGGATGTTTGAATGTTCCTGGATTGCCCAAACTTCAAAATGTTCTTCTTGTTGAAAATTTGAAAGCGAATTTGCTGAGTGTGAGTCAATTATGTGATCAAGACTTTTCTGTGAGTTTCACCTTGAATGAATGTTTGGTTTCAGATAGGAATAATAATTGTGTTCTTACAGAGTCTAGATCGCAT